TGGATCCAACAAGTTGGTGATCACAGGGGTTGAAACCACCAGGCCTGCGCCATCCGAAGGTACTACTTCCGCCACTCTGAAGTTTCGTATTAAAACAAAGATCCGAACACTGAACAATCCGTGACGAGGGTGGTTTTCCCTCATCGTAAATTTTCGAAACCGGCGAGGGTGGTTGTTTTAAATTTTTGTATCGTAGTTTGTTTTGTATCCGGCAAGGCAGTGGTTTAGGTGTGTATAGTGGTAAATGGGAGACTAGCTGACACTAGAATTAATATTCTTTACAATTTTGTTTTTATTTTACTGCCTTTAATTTAATTTTTGCGAAGTTAATTCTTTTAATAATGTAATTGTAACTATTTATTTTCTCATGTGTGCATCTGTCGATGTCATTTATGAGATAAGGATTTGTTGTTGTTATTTACTTTGCGTCCCCCCAATCAGTTTGCTCGGCTTTTCAATGCACACAATGGTGTACAAGTAATATTCTAATTTCGTTCTTAGTCAAGAATTTAAAAAATTAAATCTCAATCGGATACACCTCAATGTCAATAGATTTTGAAAGTGGGAAAGGTGCGCTTAATGCTTAGGGGTGCTAAACCTAGGTGCTGTTTACAGTTATTAGAGTGGTGGTTTTCTTATTGGGCTCATGGAGTATGCTCTTTCAACAGGTGAGCTGCATTTGGTATGTGAAAATGAATTCATAGAATTTTTCTAGGGGGACGGAATGCAAAATTTCCTTAACATGTTTGCAGTGGTGGATCCAGGATTTCAAGATCGGGAGGTCTCAACATAAAAATTAAAAAAAAAAAAAAAAAAAGAATTTGGTTCCATATCACTATTTTCTATTGAATTTGGTTCATTGAATAAATAAAGATTAATCTCAAAGGTAATAAAACCAACAAATTCTTCTCAGCAACATAACGCAATTAGTGACTCTACAAAGATAAAATTTGTTACTATACATATATATTATTAATTGGGAGTTGGGACTACAGTCTAGGATTAAAAAGCTTATATGAATTTGGAAGAAATAAAATTAGGCAACTAAGGGTGGTGGAACAGCAAATGGTGGTGGGGAATAGGATAACTTGGGTTTAAAGTTGGAAGGTTGTGATGATTGGGGCTGGGAATTCTTAAATATAATTTGGGGATACTGGAAAAGATCGGGGTTCTTGAGCTCTGTAGAAAAAAAAAACAGAGATATTTTAGTTTTAAAATTTTTTATAATGACCTGACTAAAAAATGTTGTTGTTTTGGCTAGGTCTTTTAAAACAAAAATTAAAAATCTCTTCTTCTTTGTAATAAGCACTGCTGCTTGCATATCCATTGAGGCAATAAGGCTCTCCACTGCACCTACTCAAATTGTTAGAGGGTCCTGAAAGTCGATCACAAGTGTTTCTTCAAGCTTCCTAAGGGTCCCGAGACCCTCCAAAGCCCTTTATGGATCCGCTAGTGCATGTTTGGTAACAATGGAAAAGTAGGCAGGAACTATCATTTTTGGGATATCAAAAATAATAATTGTTAATAAGGACAAATTTGTCATTAAAATGGTAATTAACATACGTTAGGGTGGAGGGATTCACTTCCCCCACCCCGCTCCCCCCCCCCCCCCCCCCCCCCCAACAAAAAAAAATCATTTGACTTGCCAAACATAGGAAAAACCTTGTAAGATTGTTATAAAACACTTTAAGCAATCGCAAACATGTCATAAGTATGAACTTCATGTTCTCGCGCCTCATATGTTTACCCTAATTTTTCAATTTTCGATGGCATTTCTATTTTGTTTCTCCTTTGAGGCTGGGGGTTGGGTTACTATTGCCTAGGGTTAGGAAGATGAAGGTTTTTAGGTTTTCAGAGGGGAAGTAGCTAGGGGTGTGCAGCTAAATATATGAATGGCACTATTCAGTCAAAGGGCTGGTTTGATATTACTGTGTTTTGAAAAAAAAAAAACTGTTTTTGCTGTACCGTGAGAATAAGCTTATTTTTTATATTTCATGTTTTCAGCTTATTTTCATCCAAAATTATGAAAATAAGCTGTTTTTAAGTATTTACCAAATACCTTTTTGAACTCAGTTTTTTTTTATACTCACTTTTTATAAAAGCACTTCAGTATCAAACCAGTATAAAGTTATATGTTGCTGTCGTGGATCTCTCACAGATCTTACTTGTGGCAGAAGGCAGAGAGAAAGAAATAAGCAAGAAAAGAGGAGCTAAGCTACTCTGATCGAGTCTGTCTCTCACCCACAGGCACAGGCCACAGCGCACAGCCACGAGGGGTCCCCCACGGCCACATGCCAGGCGAAAACCATGGACTGCCTTTACCCTTGCATGGTGAGTATGGCCATGCTTTATGGTTCGTTGAAGACTGTAATTGATTGCATCAGGCTTTGTGGTGGTTTGTTCTTACAAGTTGTGTTTCTGTTTTGTGTATTAACAAATGCAAGATTTTAAAGGTTCGGTGCTCCATCGAGTTAAGGGAAAAAGACAGGTTTGAATTTCTGCAAAGCTTGAGTTTAGATGAATCTTCAGATGAACAAAAGAGAAGGAGGGAGTGAACGCAAATATTTACATTGTGTAACGAGGGCTACGTTAGCAAATCAATAAAAATATAATTATGACTGTATTGGAAGAAGAATGCTAATTGGACTCTTTCAAAATAGAACATTTCATGAATTCTCTGTGACCTATGCTTTTGGCACTATGTTTTGTACTATTGACATGGAAATTAATATTAAACTATGAGGTATCAGAAAGTGCATGAAGACTTTGGAATTAGTAGGGACGGAAGTTAATGGGTGAGAATGCCTACATGGATTAACAATTATAGGGGTGGAATAAGAGAATTTCGGGTTCAAATTTTATGCACTCAAAATCCTCTAAGGCCTCTCTATGTTCTATCTACTTGAGTGACACGTTTCCTTAATTTATCTTACTTTTTTTTTTTTTTTTTTTGGGGGTGGGGAAAGTTTACGCTATTAAATAGGATTTAAATAAATAGCAAAGTGTTAACAAATGAGTTAAGTCACAGAGAGTCACATAAGATATTTTTGGATAAATGATAGGATAATTACACTAAATTAATTTAAACTATGAGGTTTCGAACACGAGACTTCAAGTGCATGAGCAAAAACTCTTAACCAATTGAGTTACAAGCCACTTGCAAGCCATTTTAGATGCAAAAGATTTGAACTCAAGAATTTCAGCCTCCAATTAGAATTAGTGACGTCAGTTTATGGCACATGTGACGGAGAAATTAAAAATATGGAAAAACAATTTTATCAATCCAAAAGACTGAAGAAAAGTGAAGGCGGCTAGGTACGTAGGAACTGCCACGCCCCAAGCTGGTGAGATTGGGGACGTAAGAAATTGTTCGTCACAGTGTTTCTGGGTTTGAAATGAATACAATAAGTGCTAGCTAGCTATATGAAAAAAGGAGCAAAGAAATCTGATGCATTATCAGGCTAAGATTTTCTTGTGAATCGATGGGATTTTTCTGCTGGAAACCAAATAAATCCCCATATCTATATATGTACTTGACAATTGTAGATATATGCAGTAGCTAATGAGTCAGTTCATTTACTGTTACTCACGTTGTTTAACAGTGCGGGTGGCTTCGATTGCTCAGCCTTCTTTCGATCAGCAACTTAATTATACCAGATGATATATGCATGTCACGCAACACTCAGAAAGTTTTTACTCCACAAGTAAATTCAACTGCTCCAATATAAACAGAAATGTATTCGTCCACCAATGTTTATGTAAATATGGTAATCACGTCCGCGTGTAACATCCTACTTTAATTAACAATGTAATGTAAGGTTACAAAATAAACTGTGGTGGTTATACTGTAATTTTATTAAAACAAAGGGTGCCAATACCCCCTTTTTTTTTTTTTTTTTAAGCGCTATAGTATTTCCCTATGGTCAATTAGCACTTGTGATTAGACAAGAAAACATCCAGTAGGCTTTAGGGTTTAGTTGGGACACTCGAAATACTCCAGAGTCCTAGTTGGGACACCTAAATCAAATACTTGAATCCCAAATAAAAAAGGGTTTCCTTGTTGAGTTTCCTTCGTGTATGCCCAAGAGTGGTCCTTCGTAGAAAATGTGTTAAAGCATGTCGCACATCGAAAATCTGATGAAGTTAGAACTCCGTAATATTAAATGGTTACACCACTAATTACTTGATTATATCTGTGTACTGAAACTTTGACACTAATCTGTGATTCTGTTGCTCTAAATAGTATAGTATATTGTATTGTACAATCGTAGCTAGCTATCTATATACAAATAGACTCTAGTTTTTGGAAATCCAACAATTGCTACTGTTAATACTTGCGCATGCTTTATAACATTTATTGCTGAATCTTTCTTTTTCCAGATTTGTAGCCTTCGGTTTCCCTTCAAATCTTGACATCGATCTTGTCCTACTCCTATCTGTGGAAACTGGAAAGCTAGCTCTATATCTTTACCTGCTTCAAATGAATACTGTGCTCTGGTCTTCTACTGTATGTGTCAATTGATCTTTTTTATTTATTTTTTCTTTTGGTCAAATGTTTCTTTTTCAATTGATTATTGCAGGGCACAAATATGAGCTTCAACTTGGAGTCTGTGTGTGTGTGTATAAGCCACTAAATCACTATACATATTTTAGAGTGTAATACCGTTTTTTCTTGCCTATAAGCCATTAACATTTTATATAGATTGCAAATCTAACATCTAATTTACCCTCCAAAGTTACATACACTATTTCTTTATGTAAAATTACCAATCTACTCTCAAATGTGTATCACATGCAAGTAACGTGACTTAAATTGACGGAAAATTGAATATAGTAGTTTCGAAAATAATATTAGGGATATAATTGGCATATTTTAATAATTCAAGAACTGATTTTTCTGAAAAAATAATTTAGGGATCTAATTTTCACTAAGGTGATAATTCATGGCTAAATTGGCAGTTCACCATGTGTGTGTGTGTGTGTGTATTTATATCATAATACTTGCTGTCCTAGAGCTTAACACACGCTGCAACTTCTTGTACATCTTCCTTTGTGGACATCGTCATTCATAAAAGTAAGGTGAGTTTGCGTAAACTTCATGCACCGTATTTGCTTCTCTAGTTAGATGCTTCTCTTCGTAGCTTATATATACAGGAGAATTGCCATAACTTGCAGGCTGAAAAGCTTCTGGGAAATTATCTTGTGTACTTCAGAATATATTATTAACACAAAGGTACGTATACCATGCTCGATCGATCAACTTTTGTATGTCGATTTGATTCATGATATTCCCAGACTGATCATCAACTGAACAGTACATGTAGTATACATGCAGTCCGGCTTCTGTCAAAAATAGGTGCCAATGGAATCAAGGGTTAATAATTACTAGTAATAAAACGAAACTCCTACTATTTATCCATGATTATAGTCATTGAGCTGGACAGAATATATATATATATATATATATATATATATATAATATGGTTTCCAGATTGAGGATAATTTCATGTAAATAGGACTCACAAAACTATTATAACTTTGCTTACATTAAACAGTTTTCCATGGATACAATACAATACAAATTTTAATTTTTAATTTTGTAATAATATTATTTTAAGGGTATATAGTTATTGGCACTCTAAGCCTACTACAATCCTCCAATCCTTAGAGTAAAACTCAAACGATAGGTTCTAAATTCATCCCAACTTACTCCAACTCTTGGGGCAAATATGATTTTGAACCCAAAACTCATTTCTGGGGCAAATTTAGGTGATGATTCTCTCTGGCTTAGTGGGTTGGCCCTATTATATATGTATATTTTTTTTAGTTTTATATTTATAGATTCAATAAATCTAACAAATAAGATCTAATATGATCAAATCTAATGATAAAAATAAAGATTTAACAATCCAAATTTAAATTCAACGGCTAAAATAATTAAAAAAAATTATTTCACGTGTTTTATATTCTTTCATTGTGTTCCGCAAGTTTCATAGTGTTTTATATTCTTTCATTGTGTTCCACAAGTTTCATAGTTTCAGCTTTATAATTTTTCAATATTTATTGGAATTTAAATATTTGTAGGTTAAAATGTTCATAAAACTAAATTAGAATAGTGTACATAATTATTGTTTTTTAAAAGTTACTATAAGGAAAAAAAAATCCTAAATTCCTTTTTTAATAATCTCAAGCTAAAAATTTAACCCATAAGGGTTGGAACAAAAAAACTGTTTATGGATTAAAACCAAAATTTTATGGGTTAAAAATTTTAGGTTTTAACCCAAGGTTTATAGATGGTCTAGAAATCTAAAAGTACACACCAAACTTTTATATTTCGAAAAGAAAAATACTTTTGTGAGAGTGCACAATAATAGTTTTCTTTTTAAAATTATTTGGTAGTAAATAATAGAAACACATTCTGTACTTGTTTGAATGATATCTGTATCTTGTAAATTTGAATTTTACTAATAGTGGAAAGAATATTAAATTCTTTTTGGTAGACAAATGTGGTAATATATGTGGTTTTCTTACCATTTTTACAGCACTTGATAACTTATATTATATAATTATTATCAGAAAATATGTTATAATTACAGTATTTTTTTTATTGCAGTAATTATGTTTTCTTCTTTGATATTTGATTGAGATGTAACAAATAGTATGTACTGGTAAAAAGATGAAATATGAAATTTGAATTGAAATATGAGGTGAAAGATAATTGAGATATCACCTTAAATCCTCGATTGATTCAACAGAATAAAACTTTAAAACGAAAATCCTGTGCGGAGATAAAGTCCTATAGGTTAAACTTCTAGAAGAGACCAATATGAAAGAATCCCTCCATATATAGCCTCCGTTGAGCGTGTCAGTTAATTAGAAGAATTAGTTGTAGTTGTTAACAGATTATCTGTCAGTCGATCGTCACTGTGATAGATGAATATTGTAGAATTCAAAAAGCAATCTTGTAACTGCAAAATATTGAATAGAGCATTAATTCAGTCCAAATTTTCTTCCTCAACGGTTAAGGGTTCTAAAGCTAACTAAGATACTCTGTAGAGCTTTGGTATTTCTTACAACTTTTGATAGTCGGATTCGACTATGACTTTGATACATATGCAATCTGTACACAATATTCTGGATTTGATTTTTTAATTCGATCGAATTTTCGCTCTTGGATTCTGAGCTAATTCATGTATGTGTTATTTTCATTACTTACTCTATAATCTTTGTGATTTCTGCAAGTTTTTACACTGTTAAAGTCCGAGTTAACTGGATAAGTACTGTATATTATTTCTGCAAGTTTTTACATGTTCTCTCCGGAAGCCTCCCTTTCTCTCTCCAAAAGAAAACCCTAGATCAGCAACCAGACTCAGCTGTGCTTGGGGCCGCTGGTAGCCTTTCACCGCATCCTCCGAGCCTCTCCCCCTCTTATTAATCCCCTTCCACGCCTGCTCGTCCTTACACCCTGCCTCTCTCTTTTTCTCCTCTTCTCCCGACCACTCCTTCAGTGACCCTACCTTCTTTTTTTTTCCATTTTCTCCCTCCATGGTGCTGCCCTACAGTCTGCCCCACCACTTTCGCAGCCATTTTTTCATGGCTCTGTTGGAGCCTCCCCCTTTTAAGGCCTTTCCCTTGTTTAGGGGCTGAATCTATAAACTTGGGCTGGTTTCTTTGGTTGTTGTGGGTTGGATCCCCTCCTATGATTTGATTTTTAGGCTGGAACCACTCTTCTGGATGGAATCGTGGCGGTGCCGCCTTATCTGGACGGATCCTGGTGGCTTCCCTTGCTTGGTTTGCGGTAGCGGCGAATCTCACATAAGCGGTAAAGTCACCAATGGTGACGAGTAAATCGGGTGGAGATGAGCTGATGGGTGGATTTCATTCTCGGATTAGTATAGGTTCTTTTTATACCTTGTCTAGTAGGTAATGTCTCTCATAGCGAGTGATGTGGCCTTGCTTCCGTGCGATTGTTTGATGCGGTCTTTGTTGTACTTTTTTGCACAAACGGAAGTAAGTTCTAACAAAGCATCAAATATCAATGTTGTAGGCAAAAGCAAATAAACAAAAATCTCAAAATAAGAACACAAGGGATTAACATGATTTTGAAGCCTATATCCATGTGCGAAGCACAACGATGAATTTTTATTAAATTAACACATAATACAAAAGAGTGTTAACTCACACAATCCAAATCCCTCAAATTACATACCTAAACCAAATGAGTAAAGAACTCAAAACAAACGAAGTAGTCTTTCCCAAATTTCTCTCTAACTCTCAAACGCACAAATTGACTCACACAATGAGCTATTTGCCACACACAGACACACTCATGACTCCAAATGGTGACCTTCTCCTGAAACCCAATGATAGAAAACTCTCTAAACTAATGGTGAGGCACACAAAATAAATTACCCTAAGGTCGTATTTATAGTGCATAGGACTTAGGTTATAATAAGAATCCTAATCCTAATTAATTGGAAGTAAATTCAAATCCTAATCAAATTAGGTAATTAACAAAATCTATTCACCAAGCAAGACATCCAACCAAGAAGTCAAATCCAAATCCAAATAGAACAAATAGTTAACACAAAATTAAATCTGCAACCTAATTTTGAGTTTGAATTGTAAATCAAAATAATCTCCACCTTGGCGAGAAATTTGCAAACTTCCAAATCAAATTTCAGACTGGGATACCAAAGTACAAACGCAAAGTGATCAACAAATTCTTCAAAAGACATATCTCCACCTTGACTCAAAAAATCCAAAAGTCTTAAAAACTTGAAATTTCCTCCAACACCTTCTCCACAAATTCCATTACAAAAACTAACAATATGAGCCACAAAATCTATGCAAAGCTCAAACAAATGAACTAAAAATGCGAATTGGAACTTCACAAAAGTTTCATAATCAAACTCCACCTTTTGACCATGCGGAGTGAACAAATGTTGACTCAAAGACAACCGAATGGGATGGGTAAACAAGCTTTCCAACTTGAGCCATAACTCCGATGCATATTTGACAGCTACAACAGCAAAATTGCTCTAAGTGGTTGCTTTAAGAGGTCTTTTCTAATTTTTTTTTTTTCTCTTAGCACTTTTAGAAATCCTTGTTGGACTAACACAACACACATCTTGAATTGCTAAATACCAAAGTCGTTCCTCCTGTCGATTTCTTCAAATATCAAATTTCTCCAATAAAGGTTCATCATGAAGCCTAGATGAAACTTAGGGCTCTGATTCCAATTGTTGTACTTTTATGCGCAAATGGAAGTGAATTATAACAAAGTACCAAATCTCAATGTTGTAGGCAAAAAGGAAGAAACTAAAATCTCAAATTAAGAATACAAGAGATTAACATGAGTTGGTGTAAAACATAAGTCACTAGTGAAGCACGGTGAGGAATTTTCACTAAACAAACTAAGATTACAAAAGAGTGTCTAACTCTCAGAACTCAATTCCCACATAGTATAAACCCTAAACCAAATGAGTAGAGAATCCAAAACCAAGGTTTAAAAGACGCTAGGCACTAGTCTAGCGGTGTGCTAGGCTAGCACCTAGGCAGGGGCCTATGTGAACTAGGTGAATTTAAGTAAATTTATTATATACCTTTAGTATTTTGATGAATTTGATAGCATGAGATGAAAGTTCAAATGATTATATAACCATAATAACTTATGAAATTTTTTTCAAAAGGTAGGAATTTATAGTGAACTTAAAGAAAAGTAAAAGTGTCAAATATATGTTGTAGACTTGTAGTCTGCAGAGAGTATTTCTTAAGTGGATGCTAAGCCACATAAAGGTAGGTGGGGTGCCACCACATCAATATTTAATATATATGTTAGATATCCCAATTCAATTAATTGGAAACAATTTAAAAAAAATTAAACAAAAATTTTGGAGTGGTCACGTCTGTCACGAGGGTGTGGAAGAGATAGAAACTAATTTCTCTATTCTTTTTCCTCTCGTCTTCTTCTATGGAACATCAAAGTTTGAAACGTAGAATGCAAATGCAAAACAAGAACTAGAACATAGCTGCTCTGCAAAAAAAATATCTGAAATGCCTAGACTGCCTAGGCCACTCAATCGCCTTGCTAGGCCACCTCAATGCCCGCCTAATCCCTTTGTTGATTTTCTTCCAGACTATGGGTTAATCACAGCGGTTGGCCACTGCGTAGCACCTAGATAACGACCTAGGCCGATTTTTAGAACATTGGCAAAAAAAAAAAAAAAAGGGAGTAGTCTATTACTAATTGCTCTCTAACTCTTTAACTCACAAATTGACTATCACCAAATTCCCAAACGAATAAGCTATGAATTTGTCAGGCATTCATGCCTCCAATCGGTAATCTTCACCCACAATCTAATGAGAGAAAACTCTCTAACGTAATGGTGAGACACAAAATACACTAACCCTAAGGTCTATTTATAGTGCATAGGACTTAGGTTACAATGAGAATCTTAATCTTAATTGGAAGTAATTCAAATCCTAATCAAATAGGTAATTAACAAAATCTCTTTACCAAGTAAGGAATCCAACTAAGAAGTCAAATCCATATAGGACATCAAAACGAAATAGGTAGCACAAACCTAATTTCTGCATCATCTTAATTTTGATCTATAAATTACAACAGTCTCGCATGTTGGTGGTGACATTACATGTGCCTAGTTTAGATTCGTTGCGTTTGCCATATTTATGGCGGATCTAAACATGCGTGCTTGTGCTAGTACGGTAGTGCTTGTGGTAGCCCATTAAGGGATTACCTTTATGCTTGTTTGTGTAAATTATCTTCAAATTTGAATTGGTCACTGAAGAATGTACCATGTGGCAACCCATGTATTTGTTCTTGTTTGTTAATGAAATCCCTATCACTTCTTGTAAAAAAAAATATTATCATAAATCTCCAATGTTTGTTTTCCCTGCCCGCAAATATATGCAATCCGATTTCTCTTTCGTTAGATCGAACCAATTAGTCCTGTATCAAACGTAGACATGATGCCATTTAAGAAATGTAAAATTCGTAGCACACCTCGTAGAATTTCAATGTTTATGGTAACAATAATTTGTTCGCAATTGAGTAAGAGATCAATTGCTTGTACACCATGTAAAATTGTTGGGCTGGTTTGTCACAGTACATATGTTGTTAATGACCAAATAAGATGTAAATAAGGTAAGATTATTGGGATGGTTTATCACATCATGTAATATTATTGGGTTGGTTACTCCTTTTTTTGCTGTAATTAGTCAAATAAGATGTAGACAAGGCAGGATTTTGCTTCGATATTGAATCCTTATAGGTGAGATTTAATTAAGTTTGCTTTGCCCTATTGCATAATTGTTTGTGCCATTAGGGTAAATCATAGAGAAGGGGAGACTTTTTCTATTGGTGTGAGAAATGACTTCATCGTCATATAATCCTCAATCCTTATGCTTTTGTCAATTTGGTTTTTATTGATCCTGTAATCCCATTGTCATTTCAAGTTCAAGAAGATAATCAAATTAGTTAAGGCTATATAGCTGATGATGAAGATGCTTAATCCAAGGTAGGTCACCTTTAATTCCTTCCGTTTGTATCTTAATTGATCACGGTTAGTCTCAATAACATGGTCTATTCGTTCATGCTTAGTGCTTAATCAACATATGAAGCATACTTAATAAATCTAATTTAAAATCTAACTCGTCGATCGAAAAAAAATGAAAACAGGATATATTGCTCCCACAGTCCGACAGTTGGGTCTTGTATCTAACGTTGCTCCCATAGGTGCCTCTCCTTTTTAGTATTAGATGACTCCTTGAAATCTGAAAACAGGGGAAATACTTAATTTTCAGTATAGTGACTTTATAAAATTTGGTTTAATTCGACTCTTTGCTGCTTAGGGAAACACTAAATGTACAGATCGAAATTAATTAAACTGAAATTTAATGGTTAAATTAGTTTGCTTTTACTATATCTTTCAGCCTTTTATTTAGCAATCAATTATCCAAGTAAACTTCAATTTTATTTTGAATATATATTGCATATTATGTATATAGACTGTGGGTACTATGTTTCATCTGTTCTGCTAGGGTTTGATTGTTTCTGGTAGGAAGTTTGCTGGCTTAATTACTTAATAGAAGTTTACCTAGTTAACTAGCTAATGACATCTTTTTTCTTGCCAATTTTCTTGAATGATTAGGCGGAATTGTTGTTCCACTTAGCTTCCCGTACCTACAGTTGTTAATTCTGTGATATTTATGCTATTCTTGCTTATGAAAGCCCTTTTTTTTCTCTCTCAATTGACTTTTGCTGTAGATGGTCTGCATTTTCTAATATCTTCTCATATTAAGGATTTATGACGAGTAGCAGAAAATAATGGAGGACCTTAAAGCCAACGAGAACAAAAAGCACAACCATGTCAGGTTTTCGGGCAAATTAATGTTTGCCAAAGACGCTTATTTGCACAAGTAAATGTGAGTAGTCCTTGGCACCTTCAATTTTCTGCTTAGCCATCTTTTGAGAAAATTTCCATATCATGAAATTAATATCACGACCATAAAGTTTGATTGTTTGACATATGATGGTGCATTATATATGTAGTTAATAGAAATAATCAACTGCTGAAATGTAATCAAGATTTGCTTGATTTAATTCTAATTGCCACTTAGTACTACGGTTTGGTAGTATTCATTTTCACTTGAAAAGTGAGAGGTCTTAGGTTCGAATCTCTTGGATGGCGAATTCGATAACAAATTAGGCTGCCCACTGTGTAACTTAGCCAAACTCCCCCTCTCCGTAATGTAAAAATATCAATATACTCAAAAAAAAAAAATCAAATTAATTGATAGCATTTGCTGACCCAAAATTTCTCTTTTGATGACATGAGATAAATTAGTTTGTGCTAGAGCTTGAGATTAGCTCCAATATTGTTCATCAGTCCGTTCCAATGATCTTGTGCATGGATACAGCTTGAGATTAGCTCCAACATGATCTTGCACATCATGTAGACTTGACAATTTCTTGCACATCCGTTAATCTAATACGAAACGAGTCGAGTTCGAATCAAATCATATCACCTATTTATTTTAACGGATTTGAAACGACATGATCCATTCAAATATTGAGTATAACGAAAACAACACAAACATGTCAAACATGACACAATCACTCAGTTTACCTAGATGGATACACGACCAAATGTGAAGCTTATCTAATGTTTTGTCATACTGCACTGGCTTTTTAGTGTTTCTTGTCAACTTTTGTGCTTTCATGGTAGGCATCTCCTAAAGTAGTTGCGGATAATACTTCCACGGTTTCACCCTTAAAAAAAGATACTGGTGGATAATACTATGTGTACGTTATTCTTTTTCATTCATATTTTCTTCTAGTTGATTATGAACCGTTTATTTTTTTAATTTACTATTTAAAGATCAGTGTTGTAAAAATCTATCTAAACAAGAAATCATTTAACTGTTTGTTTGATCAATAACGTTGTAAAAAATCAATGTGTTAACTTAATAACTTGATTCGTCTTTTTTATTTAATAATCGTTAAATGACTATACAATTCCATATTTAATTGATTCGTGAAAGAATTGATTTCTCAAGGGACGTAAAAAATATAACAATAACATTTCATACCATCGCGCACCAATTAAAGATTGAAAGAAGAGTGAAAAATTCGAACAATAAAATTACTGGCATTCCTCTTTAGAAGATAATTAGGGCTATTTAGGTTTTCGGATTAGGTGGGTGTAGAAAAAGAGGGCCGCAGTGGTGTAATTATTTGTTGCACTACCGCTAATAATGGGTTAGACAGGGCCACCCCAAAAGAAGGGGGTCATTTCTCATATGTGCAAGAGACACTTTGTTCACCTGCAGCTCCCCTCATCAGTCAGAAAATGTACCTGATTAGGTGTTTCCCACTTCTACATGGTCCAACCACTCAAAGACAAGCTCTTTCTCCCTTTCACCAGTAGGGTTTCTCAGGTGTCTCATGCGCTTATGTTAGGGTTTCAGCGTTTAGTTGGAAGAATTTTTTCTTTTCTCCTGTCCTTCCATCTCTGTCTCTCAGATCGATGTTGGAGGAGGAAATTTCTGATTAATATGATGATTTTTCCCTGCTTTTAATTTGGGAATCTCATCCTAATTTTGTAAGATCTTTTTTTTTTCTTTTGCATTTTTTTGTTTATTTTGGTTTTGTGTGGCTCTGCATCAACTTCAAGAGTGAGCGCAGAAGGTGAGAGTTTACATGCTCAAAATTAGAAATATGATATACTTCCTTTTAGGGTTTGTTGATTTACCGTTTTCCACATTTAAGTATGAAATAAATTAAGGAGATGTTGAGGGAAGAGATCTTGTGGCCGGAGCAATGCTGTGAACAGCTTCCGGTATCCAGTATTCCTGAGTTCCTCCACACATCTCTTTCGGTTTTTGCTTTTGTCTATATTTTCTCAAGATCTCTCTATTTGGGGATGGGGCATAATTAGCAGGTGTAACATACAAGATCTGGGATGTGTGTGGCTTTCGATATATCATTTATCATTAATGTTTTGTTTTGATAATCTTTTATAGTAGTCAATCAGATCTGATCAAAATTTACAGGCTTTTTTATATAATTAATGAGATTTTTTTTGGGCAATAATTAATCAGACCGGTAACTCTTCTATGATTTATGTATATCATAAACCTTTTTCTTTTATGTGAAAAAAAAAAATATATATATATATATATATATATGTATGTATGTATATTTATGTGAACGTGTGGTATCTATTTTTTTACTTGAAAAATAGCCTGTGGAATCTAGCTATGGTGCTTTTTAACGTTCTTTATTTATTTATTTATTTTGAGTGAAAAAAGCATCTGTTCCCAAAAAAAGAGAATCTAGATGGGGTGAACGTACCGAACTTTGCAGTTTTCTATCTACCATCTTCCCCTTTGTCCGTGTCAAACTTACAACAAAAATGAGATAAGATATTTACAGTTCACCTACAAGGCTCGGTCATTTGTTAGTTGCTGTATTATGATTCCATTTCTGTTAGCCTTATTTTTCCTTTTTCTAAAGGAGTAGTATGAATTGACATGGAATCATCAGAATTTATGTGGAAAAAAAGAAAACCAAAATCCGGCATTGTGCAATATAACAGTATGGACTAGGGTTTCGGTAAATAGGCCAATTAAGAAATGATTCAATTTTTCATGAACTTTAAGGAATGTACAAAGTGAGACTTGGGCATATACTCTTAAATCTTAATTAGGAAAAGAAAGAAAGAATTAAGTGAAAGACGGAAAAGGAAAAACTAAGTTATGACCAAACCACATATCCGATGCATATTAGCACACGTACTTTAGCCGTTCTTAGCCGGATTTACCTTATCGCAGCTCCATTCTCACCTCTAGACCGAATGATGTGTTGCTATGTTACCCTTTTTCTGTGTTTATTTTTGACTTGCAAGGCCTCTGAAATATTTCCATGACGTATCTGCCATCCACTATTTTGGAACTGGATCCTCTCTAGAACTCAGGATGGGGATTCTTCTGAGTAGCCTATCTGGGTCGTTGAATTTTGATCAAACGGTTCCAAATAGAAGGTCATCTAAAAGTTATAATAATTGTAGCCGTTGAATTAAATTTGAACGGCCCTGAATGAGCTGCTCATGAGGATCCTCATCCTAAGCTCAGAAGAGGATCCAGTTCCCACTATTTTTGCACCTTCATTTTCATTTTAGAATTTTCAAGATAGGACGACTCTTAAAATCCAAATGGGACGTACGGATTCTTTTGTAACCAACCAATTACGTGTATTTGTTGTCCATTCTTTGTGTACCTGTTCTTGAATTTTCGTACTCGCACACTTTGAGAATTTTGTTATTAACTTAACCATTAGTACTGTCTTCTTGCTCATCGTACCTCTTTCCCTAAAATATATTTCTTCAAAACTTTTGGACTTCATCCTCACCGTTTTCAATTTTTTGTATTTCGTTTAAAGCTAAACTTAGAAAAGTTACATCACCATGGCACTATAACCTGTAAAAGTTAAAAATGAAATTAGGAACTTGGGAGAGGAGAAGAGGACACTTTTTCGAGAGATATATATATATATATATTGTTAAATTAGATAAATATGGATACAAATTCGTATAGCACATATATTTTGTTATTGTGAAGAGAAAAAAAGTACTTCAAAATGCTTCGATTTACCAATTGTGCCCATATCCAAAACTTAAATGGTAATTAGCAAACAGTGAGTTTTCTTGTTATCTTCAGTGCTATTATACGACAAATTATGAAGAAAAAAAAAACGTATTTTCGCGGAAGCAACAAATAAGACATGTTTTCTTTCACAGAGTGATTGTTTTATGAACCATATATGATAGCTTGTGGTGGACTGCTCTGATGGTTAAAGCAAATGGTGAATTATTTTGGTGGTTAGGCATTTCTCTTCAACTGATAACGGTTTGAGTTCAAATCCTCTCCACTCCCGTAGTGTAGATTAGCGTTGAAATTCGCTTGTAATTATATGTATGTTACTAGTATAAAGGAGTGAAAACATATATAGTTAAGAAATTTTCACCGTAAAGTCGACCACAAATTCCTCATATTTTTAGATAACCTTCCATCCGATTAAATTGACCCTCAAGGATTTTTCTTTTTAATTTCCTATTTTCTTATTTATCCTCCCCGAACTATCACAAGTCACCTTATGATTTAAAGGAATATATAGTGTTGGAGGAAGAGAAGGAAGAAATTGAGGATCCCTTTCCAGTCTTGATAGCTTATTTAAATTAACATGGGCAATTTTGTGGACTTTTCATAGGTACTATAGGAATTTGTACTATAGTTTAATAGTATTCTTTTTCACTAGTAAGTGGAGATCTTAGGTTCGATTTTCGACAAATATTATTATGGCTAGCCAAATGTGAGGCTTAGTCCACTCTCTCTCTCTCTCTCTCTCCCCCCCCCCCCCACCACCCCCCAAACAAAAAAAAAGTGTAGATATTATGGTTTGTTTAAAAAAAAAAAAAAAAAAAAGCTGCACTCTCATGACACACCCCGACCAAAATCAAGGTGTGCCGGCACGCCTTGATTTTGGTTGGGGTGTGTCACTCATCCCTAATTATCACCCTTAATTAGGACCGCTCTCTAAAAAAATATCATTGTTATTATTCTTTATTATCTTATTATTATTTTGAATAAACAATATTATCTACACTAAAAGGGAAGGGGTTGACTCAGCTTCACAATAGGCTAGCATATGTGGTTCAAATTCGTCTTGGCGAGAATTGAACCTAAGACCTCTTATTTACAAATGAAGAGGAATATCATTAGACTGTAGTACTAAGTTACTATTATTCTATATTTAAAACTCTCACTCCATATATAACTGTTATGAAGTTAAATACATGCTCTCAACCACATAAATACATAGGATTACTTCAAAATTTTCATAGGTGTATTTTACTTGCATAGCTCTATATTAATTCAAGTTCTTTTGATCATATGTTTAAACAAATCAACTACTAGTGTTTTCCCCCAACAAAAATTTCCATATGTATACATGATACCTGCACTGTCTTCCATTCAGAAATGAAGGGAAGGATCAATTGTCGGTTGATATTTCTCCTAATCAGGCCTCAATGGACTTTTGAAGCATGCATATGACTTGAAATATTGGGAATTAGTGGATCACTCAAGTGTCTATTCAATCACTTCTAAAAAGATAAGCTGATGATCAATTGCCAGAATTCATTGACTGGTATGCACTTAGAGAGTTCAGCATACATATGGATAATGTATATTATATGCATGAGAAGTAACCCTATACTAAAAAATATCTAGGGTTTAAAAAAAACCATATAGACATATTCCTCAAGTGGAAAACTATGTTGTTATAGACTTTTATTTAACTATGTTTTCAATATAGACCTCTACTCAAAAAAAAAAAAAAAAAAAATTGTGCTGGATACAAATATATATACTATATCAACACATTACATAAGCAAGGAAGCTATTTTAGAGTTTAAACCGAAATATTTCCATAGTTAGGGCAAAGGATGTAGATATTAATCATAAAAAAATGTGCTGGATACAAATATCTATACTATATCAACACAAAAACATAAGCAAGGAAGCTATTTCAGAGTTTAAACCGAAATATTTCCATAGTTAGTGCAAAGGGTGTAGATATTAATCATTAATTTACGTATACTAGTTTAGAGGAAAAGTGCACCATGATTGAAAATTAAGATACTTAATTTGCTATTTTACATTATTCCAAACAGAAAGAAACACAATACACAAAGCTAATCAGAATGTTTTTCAGGCACTTGTAATTGAGATTTAATAATTGAGAGACAAACTTTCCACTTAGAATAGCTTATGAGTATTGTTGTAGACGTCCCACGGTTTGTCAAAGAATTGAAAGTCGGCAAACTGTTGGTGCTGCAAATTAAGAGTTATGTGGTGTTGTCAGAAGTAGCTATAGCAAACTAATGCTTATAAACTTAAATTATCTTGGACATATTATCTGTTTAATTATATGTGCACGTTTGTTATAGCATCAAATATTTTCGATTGTGTACGTTCTTTTTTCTTCAAAATTTTCATATACATTTTATATTTTGTTGTGAAAAAATATACATCAGAGAAACTGAAATGTTGTGGGAAGTTAATTACCTCTTGGGAAATTCCAGTACTTTGCTGGAGAGGAGTGAACACTGAAGAAGGGCTCCATTTTCCCATTACCACCATAGCATCATGAGTAGCACCATGATCAACAACCATGTCTTGAATATCTCCGGCTAGGGAGCTGCTTAATGGTTCTTCAACCCCATCGGGGTAAGGTCGCAACGCCACCAGTGAATCAGGCTGATCGTTAGCAGTATTGTTCATATTGTTGTTGTAAGCTGATGATTCTTCCCCACTTTCAAATGGGTTCCAAGAATTCAAACGGCTTAGTTTTGCCTGGTCATTACTAGGCTTCTTTGATCTCTGCATCTTTTCTCTTGTTCTTTCCCTAGCCCTTGCCCTTGCCTTTTCCCTCGAAGCCTTTGCAAGAGGGTGAAATGCGCGCTTCCTTGATTGCCTGTGGACAATCTTTCTCTCTTTGGCTGAGGGTTTGATCCCGCAGCTTCTTACTTTATCATTATCATCGTTGCCACCATTACTAATGTTAATGTTTGTTGGAGCCTCGTCTACGCCGGATAGTATTTCACACGATTCCGAAGTGGCTGGAGACGTGGTTTTGGCACATCTCACCATGTTTTTGTAGTTGAATTTCCGATGGTGATCTCTTGATAGTTTCTTGATTTCGGGTTCTGACTGAATGAGCAACCACTCCACGGTTTTGCTGGCCTTGTCAAATTCCAACACATCTTGCAAGCCAAAGAACTTACGGGCAACTTCGAGGGACAATCTCATTCTCCGGTCCCTGGGGCCTCGGGCAGTGTTGATCTTGCTGTGGCGATCTCTCTTGTTAGTCCTCCTTCTCGGGATCTGCGGCTGATCATCCATGTCCATGTGATGGCCATTTTTGTTGGAATCCCAGTCCACCATTTTAATGTTAACACTTGTAGTAGTAGTCTTCTGATGATCATCCCCTACGACGGTACCGGTGTTGTCATCAGCGGCAGTGGCGGCAGCAGCGGCAGTGGCGGTAGCAGCAGCAGCAGCTTCCTTCATAAAATAAGGTGGTACTTGAGACTCGTGAAGCGAAATCTCAATATGGTCAGGTTCTTGGTGATGGTGTTGCTGAAATAGTAAAACGTCGTCGTCTTCAAACGGAGAGGGGAAGTAGAGCAAAGACAAAGGAGGGTGATGATGTTGTTGATGAAGGTTTTCTTCTCCTCCTCGTTGTTGCCCGGAGTTGGGATTGGGGTTGGAATTAGTAAAGAAATTGGGGGTTACTGTAGTAATGTCATGGTCAAATGGCCGGCTGTGGAAAAATGGTTGATCGACATGAGGATAAGACACGGGTACTAATTCGTTAACATTATCGGTGTTGTCCGAGGGAAACATGTTATATATCTCCCTCTTGGGCTCTTTGCTTGTTTGGTTGCTTTGAATTTTCAATGAAATTGCACACCACTAACCCTAGCTAGCTAGCAGCTAGTGGTCAATTGGTACGCTTGGGATATCGGTCTACTGATGATCGAGACTTGCGCTTTTATAAATGCTTGATGAGGAAGCGAATGCCGCTGAATGTGATTTCAGTGCGCTTGTTTTTCACCTTTTCTGCAAGAGTAGTAAATCAAAATTAAGGGAAGGGATAGCTTTGAGAAAGACAGTCGAGTGTTACCGTATTTACGGCCAGCTGAGCTTAGCTTAAGAAAGACAGATGCTGCCTGCAGTGCTACTCATATATACCTCTATATGCTTGTACATATATGTATATATATTGTACGTATATGTATATATGTACACCTTTACTACATGTACTGTATTTATTTAGTTTCTTTTGTGTGTGCGCGAGAGAGAGAGAGAGAGAAGGCTAGCTAGCTAGAAAAAGACAGAGAGAGATCGTACATTTACCATCGGTCGTCATCGTAGGAAATAGAGAGGTTCAGAAAGACAGCACAGCAAGAACACCATATGTCCATGGGGGTTGAACTCTTGAATCACAGGGGGAGAGAGAGAGAAAGAGAGGGAGAGAAGCTAGTAAGGTAGTGGTATGGTAAAGAAGCAAGGGAGGGTAGGGGGCAATTTATTGCTGAGTAGCTATCTTTTTCTTAATCTTTTCATCAAAAAGTTAGCCCTACCATTTAGAATATCACTGTGTGTGAAAGGAAGCGAGTGGATAGGAAAACACCTAGTATTTGGCACCACCAGTCCACGTGGTTTGCAGGTCGCCCGGTATAGATCAATTCAATAACCTAGCTTCTCAATCTCAAAATATAAAGACCTTGCATAGACACACCCCACAGTAGCTAGATAGTGTTACGCATACATGGAGATGGAGAGTGGATTTTGTGGTTTGTTTTGGGAAGATTCAACTAATATTCCATAATCAATGGCTCGTTTGGATGTGCTTTTAAAATAATTGAAAGTACTTTTAAAGAAAATATTTTTGAATTCCAAAAGCACTTTTAGTGCTTTTCCAGAATTTACTTGCATGTTTATTAAGGATTGGTTCTAAAAACATTTTCACCAAAAGTGTTTTCAGTCATTTTAAAAGTACATCCAAATGAGTTCTAACACTTATTCTTCTTCATTGAATATTGCATGTGGAGTGATGTCCCACGTCAAAAAGTTCAGCGATCTTGCATGTCCTTATAACGAGCTGGTTACTCTTCATATTGCTAATTAATTTTTTAGTGAAACCTCAAAATTCTTAAATGTTATTAGAGACAATTGGCTCACGCGTGAAGCACAACGGTTACACATGATTCATGCAACCTAATATGTATTGCCTACCTGTTTTATTTGACCATTGCCACATGTAACGGGCATGTGAGAATGTGATGTGTTGTCCCACATCGAAAAATTAAGCAACCTTACAAATTCTTAAAAAAGTTTAATTACTCCTCATATATGATATTTGTTTACAGTTTCAGTTTTGATGCATATCATCATACAAGTCACATTGTTTGCATCACTAATTTTCACTAGTTAGAATAGTCCTTGTATTAATTATACACAACTCACATGAGAAGTCAACAATATCAAAAGCTAAGCAAAATATAAGAAAAAATCTATATGTGTTGCTCCAAGCTTAGCTAGGTTTTCTCTTCTCTCCTTCTTTTGTCTTTTTTGTTATACATAATGATACTAATGTATGAAGTATGAACCTCCCCGTGGCTGTCTAACCCTAGGAAAGGATAATTATTTAACTCAAAGGGGCACACCAACTGTGAGGCATGCCCTCTCATAGGGCAAATACTCCTTTGACTGTGGCATCTCCATTCATGTCGCTGTCACCAAAAGGGAGAGAAGCCTCATCTCTCTCTCTCTCTCTCTCTCTGAGTACGTATGTCTATTTAAGAATGTTGTCGGGTTCCCTCCCATCCCATGCGTTCTTATCAGCTTAAGGTTTTTAAACGAAATGAAGGTTAAAAAAACTCTCTCATTGTCAAGAAAAGAGTTGCTTATGCTTGCACTTGCCATTGCCCTATACCAAGACCTTCTAAGAGCCCTAGCCAATGAGGAAAAGACACATACAACCTATCCCATCATTTTATATGAATATACCAGTAGTCCTATCGACAACTGAAAGCCCTCTTTGCATATATATAATACCTACTATTTCCCTTTCTTCCTCAAATTTTATTTCCATTTTCACATGCCGTTCTCTCCCCACTTATATAAGGATTACGATTCTTTCCCTCCTTATTCCATCATTTTCTATCTCCTCCTCTCACATTTTCTATTTTGTCTTTCTCTTTTTATAAAAAAAATTAATATAAAATGTTAACGTGACTTAACTGTGACCGTTGAAATAGAAGGGAATGAAGGGAAGGGAAAAAAAGAGGGGAGAGAAACCTACTTCTTTATGGACATAAACCACTTCTCTCTGTCCCTCTCTCTGTCTCTCTAGACTAGTTTTAGCTAAAGCCTGACCTCTTTAGACCGGCATGATAACAAGGACCACATGATGTACCGTGGTTGTTCTAAGGTTGCTTTCAAGGAGAAGATAACTATGAAAGTAAAGGGGTGATGAGTGTACCACTTCTTAGAGTGGGCGCTATAATGTGAGCGTACAATAAAACCCTAAAAAGTCCATGGTTACATTGGTTGCTAGTCTAAGTGCTTTCATTTCCTTGCGGGCGAGGGTCTCTGCCCTGTCTGTACCATGTTCAAATCTGTGGTTCAGAAATTACCACCTTAGCTTCCATCACATGAGCTTGCTAGCTACTCATCAGATTCATTTGGAATATTATGTGAATGTGATCCATCATTTGAGTTTTGTAGGGGATGCACCATTTGCTACATATAGCAAAGGAATTTGGGGGCCCTTGTGTGGGACAAGTTCTTGTGCGGTGCCTATTTCTGGTTATTACACCTCACTTAAAGTCAATTTTCGGTCTATTTCCTGGAGTTTTCTTGTCCCAAAGTAGGTTGTTTATGTCTAATTTGATGTTGTAACAGCTAAAGCATTTCAGAGGTACTCACATACTTGGATGATGGGGAAAGAAAGTCCACATGTTCCTTTTTATTCTCAATATGCTTACTACTGATATTATCTTTCTACTTCATGATTTCCGACTTAATATAAAATTCATGATTAACAACGTTTTAGACCATGTGAGGTTTGGGATGACCTATTTATAATGTTTTTAACCCTAGAAATTCCCTAGGCATCTAAATAGAAATGAGAATAAACAAATAACAAAATATCAAAATTGTACTAAAATAATAAAACCCCGTTTTTGGCAATTAGAAGTTGGAATTCGTCAAATTCTAACCGGACACGTTGTTGTGTCAATTTGGACAACACAGCAAGTCAACATCCATTTTCGGGAGAGTTAGTAATTTTTCATTTACTTTTCTTGATTGCTCTAGTCCAACCTCTTATAAACTTATGTAAGATCACTCAACCCATTAATGTACGACTAATTTTCAACAAGCTATTTCACTGTGTGATGAATTTTCAAGTTAATCCGTAGATAACACAATGGGGTGACGTGGAGCACGTGTGGCCGTTTGGCTTTATACGTGGGACAACCTACTCTGATACCATGAAGAAGTTGACGTTCCACTATAAAATGAATTGGCAATATGGGGAGTAGCCCAACTCATAAGAGCAACTCCACCCTTAAAAAATGAGTTGGGGCAAAGTCTATTTAATCCACTCAAATAAATAGTAATTGACTGAAATAAATAGTAATTGGCCAAGTGTATCTTCACCTCTAAAACTAAATAACCTAGTCCATTTTATTAAACTATTATTAATTTTTTATTATAAAATAATTTAAAATTAATAATTTTATTTTTAATTTCTGACATTCTTTATTTATAAAAAAATATTATTAATTTATGACATTTTATTTATTTATTTATTTTAAAGTTTTTTGGCTCAAAAATCTGGACCGTTGATCTAAAAATCGAACAGTCCGGATTATGCCATGTCCCCGTCCCAAATTATTGTACTTTTTGTCTGATATTTTTGTGTTTCGTCCCTTATGTTACTAATTTACAAACCGTAGGACCCACATGAGATTTTTGTCCCCTTCTTGGGATTTTCTTATCCCCTTTTTATTATTTTAAAATCCCTCTCACTATCTTTCTTTCACAACTCTCTCATCTTTCTCCCTCTCTTCACCCCCGGACACCCTCTCCCCCGTGCCTTTTCTCTCGGCAAACTCTCCCTCTCCTCTCTGTGACTTACTCACACACACACATAACAACCCCAAATCAGTGCAACGAGGACGGAAGAGCTTCGGGAACCCCGTGACAAGCCGAGGAACCCTCTAGCAATGCTGTCACAATTCATCGTCTTCCCCGACGTGTTGTCGTGATTTTTGATGTTGGTAAGCTTCTAGAAACTCTTGGGATGTGTTTTAAGGTTAGATCGAAGCTTGTTTGAAGTTGTACATATGTGTAAATAGCTTGGAGTAGCTTTTCCAAACTTCTCGATGAGCATTGCCCCTTTCAAGGTGATTTCTGGCCAAACCACGACTGAGTTAGCTAGCATGCAAGATATCAATATTTTCATCTCGTTGAGTACTACAACTTTGGTTTTATATCACTTGATTTGGTTGAGTAACGAATAAGTTACGAGCATTTGAAAACTAGCCCAGAAACCGACCAATGTATAGCCTGCAAACGGATCAACCTGACCTAAATCCCTTAGACCCAGATTCAGACCTAGGTTGGGACTCCGCCTAACCTTGTAGCCCAACCCAAATCTTTGGGCCAAGCCCTTAGGCCCAAACCCAAGCCTTCGGCCTAACCTAGAACCAAAACCCCCAAACCTTTGGGCCGGGCTTTTAAGCCCAAGCCCATGTGAGCCCAAACCCTTAACCCAGTCAACCATTGGAATATTTCAAGGAATATTCTTGGAATATTCCTCTGTTGACTTTTGTTGACTTATTCGAAACTTACCCGGGACTCTTTTTAGGGTAATTCGACGTATTGAATCCATTTTTTACTTCCGTTTTCCCAAATTTAATCGTTTTAGTAGAGTTTTATTAATTGGACCCTTTATGTGCTTAAGTGCGTTTATTAGTGGCAATTATGTTCTTCCTATTTCACACGGCTCTTCGACAACGGAGTATATGTGAGTGGACCCCTTCTAAAATGCATGTTTTAATAGTAGAAATGCATACATGAAAAACATGATTTAATGGTTACGTTTATGAAACGTTTTAGGAGTAAATTAGATTTACACTTTATGATTATCATGTTTTACTGAGAATATTTTGGGATACCATACTTTATCAAATTTATGTTCTTTGTAGTATATATGATGGATGACTATATACTATTTATGAACATGTTTTTACACTCTTTATAGTATATGTGATTGATGACTATATACTATGAAGATGCTTTGAGATATATGTACTTATGTTGGAAAGATTATATTCAATGTTTTTGTGAGTATCTAGTGGTCACTGTTCTACCTACGGGCGATGATACTTATATTGGCTTCGACTAGGCATAGGTTAGTAGCTTCTACCGGGAGATACTTATACTTTTTAGGGTGGAATGAAATGATTTTCTGAGAAGAAATTCCAAACTGACCCAGAATCACTAAAGTTTTTTCCTGCTTCGACTCCCTCT